ATCTAAGAAAAATAGAAACGGTGGATGAAACAAAACCTGAATCGGTAATTTAACAATTTCCAATTGGGAAAAGATATAACAGAAAATAAAAACGATACAACAAAAAAAAAACGTAACAGAAGAAAATCAGATAAAAAACTATGAATGTCAAAAAAAACTGACGAAAGTGAAGATAATGAAAAAGATAAAGAAATTCGGAAGATCTACTTGATAATTTCAAATTTAATCTTTTTCTTTATACGTCGTACTTCATGTTGTAAGCTTTTTTTTTACTATTTTTTCTTTTTTTAATATTCTTACAATTTTTTAAAGTTTTTAGAATATTGGTCTGGTATGTAATGTATATTTTTTTGAATTCTATTCCCTTATTACAATGTAAAACACACAAAAATAGTTCCTTTTGTGTAATTTTGACACCAAAATAACCTGATTTAAGTCACTTGAAATCTCTTGTTTAGTGTTTTACGTACTTTTCGACCTATGATTAGTGCCATTATTATTATATTATTATCTTAAAAAACGAAAAATTTGTACTTTATTTAATTTTAACACCAACAAGAACGGATTTACGTCCACTTAAAATGTTTTAGTTATACGTATTTTGGCCTATTGTAACTATCGTGTTTATTATAAGGGCTAATATTTTTAAATGAAAAAACGTGGTTTTATTTGTTTTGCCACCAACTTGACCAATTCTGTGTCCACTGTGTTTTAGATTAAATAAAATCTTGAAAATTTAATCTAAAGAAAATGAGAAGAATTATTCTAATAAAAATGCGAAATAAAGAAGTGAAATTTGAGAATAATATAGGGATGTAAAATCAAAAAATTGTCGCGGCATAATAAAGAAAGAAAACCAATGCGGCAACACAAAAAATAAAGAAAAAAACTTATTATTTATCTAATAAAAAAAAAGAAACAGTAGTTGAAACAAAAATAAAAACAATACTAGAAAAAAAAACATAAAAGAAGAAAATCAGATAAAAAACTACGAAAAAAACTGAAGAAGATAAAGATAATGAAAAAGTTTCGGAAATATCGAAAATTATTCGTTTTTGAAACATTTATTTGCAATATGTTCAAACCAAATAGAGAAACTTCTAGTAAAGATTCCAAAAATTTTCACATTCGATATTTGATGTTTATTAAGACTTTTTTTGTTTTGGTCCAAACTATTAAAAATAAAGAAAAAAACTTGTTGTTTATCTAAGAAAAATAAAGAAACAGTAGTTGAAACAAAAATAAAAACGATACTAGAAAAAAAACATAAAAGAAGAAAATCAGATAAAACATCTACGAAAAAAACTGTAGAAGATAAAGATAATGAAAAAGTTTCGGAAATATCGAAAATTATTCGTTTTTGAAACATTTATTTGCAATCTGTTCAAACTAAATAGAGAAACTTCTAGTAAAGATTCTAAAAATTTTCACTTCGATATTTGATGTTTATTAAGACTTTTTTGTTTTGGTCCAAACTATTAAAAATAAAGAAAAAAACTTGTTGTTTATCTAAGAAAAATAAAGAAACAGTAGTTGAAACAAAAATAAAAACGATACTAGAAAAAAAACATAAAAGAAGAAAATCAGATAAAACATCTACGAAAAAAACTGAAGAAGATAAAGATAATGGAAAAGTTTCCGAGATATCGAAGATTATTCGTTTTTTGAAACATTTACTTGCAATCTGTTCAAACTACAAAGAGAAACTTCTAGTAAAGATTGTTATGGTCCAAACTGTTACCTTCTGAAGTATTTTACAATATTTTTTGACACTCTGTAGGTCTTTGACCATTTCATATTTTATTTTTTGAAATTCTTAATATTATTTGAAAAATGGCTGTAGCGGTGGACTCATCCTGTACATTCTCATTACATTACTAATCAGATAAAAATTCCTTTCATTTTCTTCCCTCTCTTCCTTTTCTTTCACGTTTCCCTCATTTTTCTCGATTCAATTCCGAAATTATCTCCGTTATCCATTCGGGTCCCGCGTCCAAAGGTTATCGAGCCGGTTTCTAGGTCAGCTCTCGATCAAATTCACCGCAGTTTCCATTAAAATGAAGTCGAGTTTATGTGTGTTGCTTTTCTGTACCACAATTTTCACAAAATCAACTTCAAAGCCGTGGATCGGCCTCGAGAAAGCCAACCGAACGAACCTCCGAAGTACCCAACTAACCCAAAAATCGCCCCTTTTACTAACCCCTCATTTCAGAATACGAAAAGCACTGTTTGGACACACTTTACCAGCTCGGTCCTCTGGAAAACGGCGAAGTGCGACGCGTTCCGGGCATGTGCATCCTCGCCACTTGTCTGCAAGACCGGAACATTACGTTTTCCGGGTAATGATTGCGCTCCGGGTGCTCGAGACGTGTTTTAATCGCAGACGTTAGGTGTCCTCTTACAGCTTTAAGTGACAGCTCGAAATGCAGGGTGTATGCCGGGGATTTGGACAAGGAGTACCCCCAATGTTGCTACGAGATCAGGTGCTTCCAGGATGAGCCCCTCTCCAAGGTTTACGACGGATTTGTCAATATGACGAGTGTCAAAAACGCAAAGATTAAACAAACTCAATCTTATCTACTGTCTTTTTCCCCCGACTTATTAAATTACTAAGAGAAAATTGTTACGGTAGGTTACTTGTGGAAAACTTTAGTCGTTTAGCGACTTTCCCCAAGTTTTATTTCTTTTTCACTAGTCACTAAATACACTAGACTTTTCATCGTTTAAATTCAGCACAAGTCGCGGATTATTAGTCTTGGGTTTTTCTCTCAAGTTGGTACAACTGTTTTGAAAAATGCACAGCAACAGTTTGGTCATTTGAGTGGGTGCCAAATCGCAACAATGACACATTTTTGTTACTTATTAGTCCCGATTTCGTTACATGGTTGGTACTATTGGCAGGTAATCAATGCAACACTGGTGCCAACTCAATTCTTATGATCAACGACAAGCGAAAATTAATTTGTGGCTTTGTAGGTCCATGCATTCAATTAAATTTCTGATCAAAGTGGTCTGTGACTATCAAACAAAGTCGACAACAGTGAACTATACTTATTCGGTGTTGCCAACTTATTTTGAAAATTACAAGCCACGTAGGCCAGAAATTTAATTGAACGCATGGTATAGCAGAAAAAACAAAAAAACTCTCAATAATTTTTGATTTCCCCTGTAAATAAAAAATAAATAAAAACAAAAAGTTTCAAACTTTCAAAAATATTTAGTTTTAAACAGAAAACATCTCATTAAAATCTCAGAAACATTTTATATCTATTGCTTTAAAAATCTGCGAATTGTAAAATAACATCTTCTACAGGTTGGTAAACTTGTTTAGAATTTTTTTAATTGTCAAAAGGAAAGTTTTTCTTTCAAGTTACTGGTTATTACACAGGGTGTGCCAGAACTTGCGCCCCAGAATTTTTTTTTAAGTAAGGTAAGATACCAGGAACGTGGAAAAAATGTTTAAAAAATTCTACCTGTCAATACCTTTTGACATTTATTTTTTGACATTTGACATTTTTTTATGTCTATTTAATAATAATGATGATTTTGTATATGTTTTTTTACAATTATTTAGTAAAAGTACAAAAATTTTGCCAATAAAAGCCACAAATAACATTGAACAGGGTTACAATTTAGGATACAGCTTTCTTTAATAGCCTTTACTAAAAAAACTTGGAAAATTATTTTTACAACAAAAATAAATAGAGTCAAATTACAAAATTTAAACTCTCATAACTTCGAAATTTTTATAGATAATTTTTTTTTTACATTTTTTCCATGTTCCTGCTGTCTTACCTAATATGGCATTTTTCTCTGGGGTGCAAGTTCTGGCGCATCCTGTATACTGAGTAATCAAGAATATTATTTGAATTGGCAACAAAGCATAATGGCCTGTGACTTTAAAATTAAATTGGCAAGTAGACGTTAACACAGCCGTTAGTCAATGTTACCAATTTAATAAAAGAAAATCATATATACAGGGCGATGCAAAAACGCCTTCCCTCTCTATTAACTAACTGCCACTTAAAGTTTTTGATTAAATAAAAGTACTGGGTGACCGAAAATATTGTTTGAGTTGGCAACAAAGCTATAGCATCGTGGCCGGTGACTTTAAAATTAAATAGGCAAAGTAAGCTATAAAATTTTAATTTAGCAACATTGACTGAAATATAATTTCCGATATTTTAGACAAGCGACCATTGACATAGCCGTCAGTCAATGTTGCCAATTTAATAAAAGAAAATCATAAATACAGAGCGATGCAAAAACGCCTTTCCTCTCCATTAGCTAACTGCCACTTAAACTCTTGATTAGATATACTGGGTGATCAAAAATACTGTTTGAGTTGGCAACAAAGCTATAGCATCGCGGCCTGTGATTTTAAAATAAAATGGGCAAGTGAGCTATAAAAGCTTAATTTGGCAACATTGACTCTGAAATATAAACGTCATTTTTGACATAGCCGTCAGTCAATGTTGCCAATTTAATGAAAAAAAATCATATATAGAGGGCGATGCAAAAACGCTTTTCCTCCCCATTAGCTAACTGCCACTTAAACTATCGATAGTGGGTAATCAAAAATATTGTTTGAGTTGGCAACAGAGCTATCGTGTCCTGTGAGTGTAAAATTAAATTGACAAGTAAGCTATAAAATCTTAATTTGGTAGTTTTACTATAAAATACAAACGTCATTTTCGACAAGTGGCCGTTGACACAGCTGTCAGTCGATGTTGCCAATTTAATAAAAGAAAAACATGTATACAAGTCGATGCAAAACCGCCTTTCCTCTCCATTAGCCAACTGCCACTTAAACTCTTGATTAGATTAAGCCGTAAAAGTTGTGTTTATTTCGAAAATTGGGCGCAATTTGAAAACGTCGTAACTTTAATGTGCGATAAAAGAAAGCTTAGTATTATATGAAAACGTAAAGCGACCTACACCTACGTCCGGGATCGATTCAAACTTCCCAACTGGAATTTGTAAATTAGTTGGAAACTTACCCCATCAGGATTATGCTTATAGGGTGGTCCACTTCCGCAAAACTCCACCAAAACGTCCTGCAACTTCTTAGTGGAGTCTGCAAAGAAAATCGACGATTAATTCGCGTCTCGTGTTAATATTTGCGGTGGTCGAGGGGCATAATTACGGCCGTAAACATGGCCGCTGTTGATATTAGTAATGGCGATTAAGACAACCTCTCTGGAATTAATTAGGTGGCCTCAGGCTGGGCAAAAATACGCCCAAGCGACGCCGTTTTATAATCGGAAATTGACGTTATTCCTTCCGGTTGCAACTCAAACAGACTATTAATTGTGTTTGCCTTTCGCGAAGAGTATTTATAGCGTAGAGACACAAAATAGAAAAACACTCGTTATTATTTTGATTGACAATAATTTTATCGCTGAATCAAAACGCAAAACTTTGCCATCGATTTTTACAGACTAGATATTTACAGGAAACGAACACTCTAAACGAATTATTGCAAGTATCGAATTTTAATAAAGTGGGTAAATAACGTTAGGAAATGATACTGGGAGGAGCTCCCGGAGTTATTATTCCACCGGGAATAAAAATTATCTATCCAAACAAAATTGTTTGTGCATACGCCCAATAACCTCATTACTTAATTGGATTATTTGGACGGCAATCGCATGAATATGCGATGCGGAGGTTATTTCGCACTAAATGCAAGTAACGTGAGTGGAAGATTAACTAAATGGAAAGATTTTAAAATTAATCAAGTGAAAATGGAAAATTGCATGTCACAGAGCATTTTAACCGGGTGCGCTGCGCCACCACGTCCCCGGCCAGTGTCTCTGATTATAAAAAATCTAACATAATTATATAAAATCAATAAAAATGTTCTATTCTATCCACAGCCTACTTTATTTAAACTGTGCAACTTTGCTCTAAGAAGTACATATCTTTAAAAATGATATGGAGTTACGGCTTGGGGCGTTTTTTATTATCCACCCTGTATAAGAAAAAATGTTTCAAAAAATTATTTTTCGCGTTTCCACAACGTTTTATTGACTTTAGTAAGTTTCTTAGACAACTAGAAGTGCATTTGGATCAATTTGGATCAATCAATCAAAAATTTTTGATTTTTTGGTAAGAATAGTATATGCCTAACCTTATTATTACTCAATATCTGAAAAACTATACATCGTAGAGTATTCTAACTTGTTGTATTGTGTTCAGTGCGTAATTTTACGTCTAGAAAACCATATTTCAACCGTTTTTACGATTTTTAGTAAATTGACTATTTTTACGATTTTAATACCACGCTCACCTTCAAAAACTCGAAAAATTTGTAATTTTTTAAACTTGACCAAATAACGTTTAATGCATTTTTTGAGTCTTTAGGAACTCTAGGAAAGTAAAAAACGTTATATGGATCAATTATAAAGTAGATTTTTTTTGGATTTTTGTCGAGATTTTGGTCGATTTTTGACACCCGGAGCGCTCTATTGCCAATAACTCTGGACTTATTGCTAATAACCTCTTATATTTGGTACCGCTGGAAAGAGAATTTAATTTTCTATCATATACAAAAAAGATCAGTGTTCTAAGATAAATATCTATTGAGAAAATTTCTGATAAAGTCACAAATATGAAAAATATAAATCCGACAATAACTTCAAAACTGTTACGAATTTTGCAGTTTTCTTGACGCCAATCGATTCCCCGGAACATTTTACAATGGTTTAGGTCAAAACAATACATCATTAAGGCACAGTTTTGCCGCAATTTTCAAAATAAAAAAAACTAAAAAATTGTTAACACCCCCCCTTAAAATCTAGTGTTTTTGAACATGTCTCAGATTCGATTTAAACCTATCTTATCCGATAGATTTTGACGCGCTGATTACGAATTTTCCAAGCACTTTGCGCTATCTCCTTTAGTTTCGCCGTAATCGGCGTTTGAAAATTCAAAATTTTTTTGCGAGATATTGACTTGGCTTTGGCCTCATTCGATAGATTTTCTTATGCTTATTACGATGATGTTGAGCTTTTTGCTCTAAGTCTAATAGTTAATCCGTAATCGTCGTTCAAAAAGTGAAAATTGTAAAAATTGTGAAACTTTAAACGCGTTTTTCTACGAAACTATAAGACTTAGAGCAAAAAGCTAAAAACCATTAAAATTAGCTTGAAATTATCTATCTAATGGCGCAAACCGGAAATCGCTCCGGGTTATGGTTCCGGGTACAGAGCCATTTTTAGTTTTTCACATAAAAAATTAATATCTCAAAAAATTTTGAATTCTAGGTCAAAACGGTTTGTACAGGCGTATTCTCCGGTTAATTTTATATATAGTACTAGTTTTTTAAAAGAATAAAATTTTTTTTGATTTTTTGGTCAAAATCCGATGCTTCGCTCCTTATTCTTAACTTTATTACTCAATATCTCAAAAACTATACATCGTAGAGTATTTTAACTTATTGCATCGTGTTGAGCGCGTAATTTTACGTCTAAAAAACCGCTCATCTTCAAAAACTCGAAAAATTTGTAAGTTTTTAAACTTGACCTAATATCGTCTATTGCCAATAAATCCGGACTTATGTTTGGTACCGTTGAAAAGAAAATTTAATTTTCTTTCGTATACAAAAAGGTCAGTGTTCTACGATAATTAGTTACCGAGAAAAGTATAGTATTAAAAAATATTTTAATTGTGATAAAAAAATTAAAAGTGTGAAGAGGCAAACCATCCCCAGAAAACCGCGTAAATAAGTTTGCATAATAAATGAATTAGATTCAGTCTAAATGAATTCGGACCTCTGGGGAAATTTTATTTTTCGTTAAAAAACACCAAACTTGCGATTACAAATGAATGTAATTTTTAAGTATTTTCACGATTTGGTTTGCCCAAGAGATTCAAATGCAGCTCGCATTAATTGCAGATAACACAAAAATAATAAAGCATCGCGTGTCTAGGGTTACTTAATCCACTCTGGAGAGAATTTAAACCAAAAAATCTTTTATTTCCTTGCATCGATCCGCAGCAAAAACCTCAGAAACAGCGCTTTTGTCGTCACATTTCGCCCAGGTCACTTAACTATGCGTTTACAAAGTTAATTCCAACAAGGCCCAATTCACGTGTTTAATTAGAACTAAAGCTGTTCTGGACCAAACTTGGGTCTTGAGTCAAATTCGAGAATTTTTTCAAACTAATTAGTCAAGTTGACATGGCGTAGAGGGGGCTTTTATTATTCAGCGGAAGTGCGACCCATCAAAATGCAAATCGGYCCGAAGGCAAGCCACGCAATGCTAATTACTGTGATAAAAAGAATATCTAATTTGGGCGTGATACTGGAAAAAAAATTGCTAAACTTTTTTTCCAA